ACATGTTGCGCCATCCATTGACAAAATATTTAGTTAAATAATAAACTAAATGTAATTCTTAAAAAAAATATATATATAATTTAAAAAAATATGTATTATATTCACTTGATTACTGCAACAATAGGACTAAATAGATGCGCCATTACGCCATTACTGCGACAGGTAGCTCATAGCACTTGGCCTGCGTGAAATCAAAAGTGTTTCAGCCTGTGAAAACCTGTGAAAAGTCTATAAGTATTTAATTTTCCACATTTAACAACTCGTGTTTTTCATTTCCGAACTGTACTTTCTTAATTGTAATAAGTGCCTTCTGGTAGCCGAGTGCATAAAACCACTAAAGTCTGATAGTTTGTGGGTTCGAGCATAATCAGCGGGATGGCCATGTTCAGTTTTCCGGATTTTCTTCATGTTAGTAAACCTAAATAATGTCAAGCTTCTCGTAAAAGTCTTCCCGGGATGCCTTCCCTCCGCGATAGCTCGCGCGTCGCGTTGCGGTAACCAGATAAACCAAACCAATTCTAACGAGCGAATATTTAGTGTGATATCGTCACAATGCCGGGCTGCAACTTTTCGTCATAATGAATTGTTTTAGTGATGGTAGTTCCCCTGTACATCATACTTTTCCTGTTAGGAATAGAGTCGTGCCTGTAATTTATCTAACTCCTTTCGGGAGAAAATTTTGAATTAAAATAACGGAACTTCCGGTTTAATTAGGAAGGTCCTATAGTTACCTAGGCCTCCTACCCATACGCTTTTTATATCTGCTTTCGAAGTTTATCTATCTAATTCTTTTCTCGCGATTAAGGAAGGACAGACAGGCGGACCACAGACAGAATTTATGTTACAATTTTTTCAAATTACAGCCCTATAATTTCTCTATAAATGCGATATTTACGAGTAAATACTTACCATGCAGTTTATTTATACAATCAGTTGCAAAAATATAAATACTTTACTATTACATAAAATCAATTATTCTGGCATTTTTTCAAGATTTTCTTTATTTAAACAAGTCATACAAAGTTTTACGGACGTTAAAGTTAGCAACTTTGATCACTTGCGGGGCCATCATAACACGGATCATTTTTCTAGTATGAACAGTAGACCGGTAATAATGAGTAATCGTGGAGCATCCTCTCTTCCGTGTAGAGGTCAACGACTATTTTTGCTCGAATTATTTCAGCTCTCTTTCACAACAGCCCCTTGTTTTTATCGGACCAGCGGTATGGTGTCATTCGATTAGAAAATTACTTAATACGTGCTTACCGCCTGCACAAAATATGATTTAAGTTGTTTTCGAGGATGCCGAGTTTAAATATTTGGTGTATTTTTCGCAAAATTTCATTAGTTGTCAGATTACCGTTTAATATTCGGCTGTGAATGGTAGTTTCTTAAAGTTAACATTAGGAAAAAATATATCTGGAAAAATTTAAGATATATTTTCAATATTTTCAAAATTCAGGTGTCTACTTGACCAATTAAATTGTGCCATTTCGTACCATTCAAGTATCGCGATAAACGTGACAATAGTGCACTGAAATAACCAAACTATTTACAGTAGAGCGTCGTTTATCTGAAGGTCGGTTATCCGAAGGAATTTCAGTCGACAAATTTAAATTTTTGCCAGTGCTGTGGCGCTGTAATCTTTGGCTATATTTTCGGCTACTCGAATATTTTACGTTTTTGATACTAAATTAACTTTTGAAGTATAATTTTTTATTGTTTTTATATTTTTCAATATATTTATTTTGTTTGTACAAAATAAAAAAATAATTTTTAACGATACAATAGTCTTCGTTAGGCTTAACATCGACGAAAATTCAACGCGAAGCGACACGCAACGGAGAAAAATTTCAACACGGGATAAATTAATATATTTTTTCGTACATAATTGGTTATCCGAAAAATAAGTTATCCGAACAACCCCAGTCCCCAATTGATTCGGATAAACGACGCTCTACTGTA